AAGCCCACAGAAATGGCTAAAAGTCACAAAGGACAGTACAACGTATTCCATGGCTTAAAAAGCTTGTCATTGGGGTACCCCCCTGAAGAGTGGCACGAGAACCTCGACTGGTAGAATCGAACAATATACCAGTATATAAAACAAGCCATGCATGGCGCAGCCTCTTTACTAATCGAATTTAAGATATATTGTTTTGTTTATTGTAATATAGTTGGAAGCCCCATGACCTCATAGATTTTCTTCCACGTAACACGTGACCAAGGTCAAGCGGTTAGTGCCATCTGCCTTATGTTGACTCCCCTGTTTTCTTTGTACACGAGGACTTGAAGCCAATCGCTACGGAAAGTGGGGTGATTGGGAGGGACCTGGAGTCTATGCCTAAATTCACTACGTTCAATTACCCACCATAGACTCCGGCCAGTCAAAAGGTGGCGGGTTTCAGAGTAAAATAGAAAATAAAGCAGTACTCGAAAGTGTCCAACCCAGAACAAATTTTACTTATGACTACCACCTAGCAAAGACCAGTGAAAAACGGTGTCTTACCTTGCCAGTGACTGGGTCTGAATTGCCCAATGATGCTAGACCAAAATCCAATTTTGGCAGTAACGACCATTCCAAAAAAAGGAGCTAAAACAATTCTGAAGAATTCACAAATGTGTAGTTGCCTATGCGCAGAAGTGCCTGTGGTCATCTGGGCTGGATCAACAATCAAAGTTTGACCCACGACGACAGGACCCACTCTAGAAAAACTTTTCTCAATGGATTCCTAAGGACGTTTTGCTTTCTCCAGAAGCCTGTCCTAAATACGTGTTTGAGAGGAGGCACCTGATGCAAGAGCTAGCAATTGCACAAACCTCATTCGCTCGTCCTTGGTGTCTCTGTAGACCCTGTGCCGTGGATGACAATTGGTCATAAACCTTAAACACTGTTGAAGTGTTGAAGGCTGGTCTGTCCTGCTTACCCTGGCCATAATACATAAACATGTGCTTGCTGCCCTGCCTCCCTAGTACGTCTCTCATAGCAACTCAAAGCTCGAACTTGCAATTGGCATAGAAGCAACTCAATATTGGCCAAACAGGGGGTGACAATCAAATGTGGATCGTGCTCTGGGATTTGGTTCTTGGTGAGAAACCCGATTTGTCTTTTTGGCACAGCTTAATTATCTATACAGGCAGCACAACAGACTGAGAAGGGCAGGGCCCCTAACTCAGAACGATGTCTACCAGAAGTGAGAGCTAGTAGGAAGACTGTTTTCCGCATCAAATATTTAAGTGGTGCTGACTCCAGCGGTTCAAAAGGTGGTCTGCTTAGAGCTGACAACACAACAGATTGGGAGGTTCCCTAGATTGAGGTCTAGGCCTTTGATCATGAAAAGCAGTAAACAGTCTCCTAATAATATGACAATCGGCTAGTCTTGTCCCCAAAGAGTTTTCAATGGCTGGTGACAAGGCTGACCTATAGCCAACGATTGCTGCATAGGGTAAACGGACAATGGACGAAAAACTCAGCTACCTGGCCAACAGTGGGTGGCATGGATCAACCTTCCTTTCACTACACCAATCAACGTATGCCTGCCACTTGGAGTCATAGGCTGCGTTGGTGGAACCCCTATTTCCCCTGGCCAGAACTTTGGCAGCCCGATCAGATAAACCTTTGGAATCAGAGTCGCCGCGAAAGTGTATCCGCTCGACTGTTCCGCACCCCTGGAAGGTTGTGTGCAGTTAGCTCCATATTGCATTCCAGGCACCAATGGAGAATTTTCTTCACCAGAGCTGACAGCGATGGGGATTTGATGTAGGAGACCACTGCTGTGTTAATATGACAGTCCTGAATCCAATGCAGGGGCCATATTCCTTGGGCTTGTTCGTCCATTAGGTGCATCCCCAACACCAACCACGACACCAACTGATGTGTCGGGTGTGGATGGGACTTTTGCCGATTTACCAGAAGGCCTAATTTGTGTAGTATATCCTGTGTTAGCCTTGCCTGCTCGGCCAACAACCCCTTGTTTTGGTTGTGTAGCAACCAGTCATCTAGGTATGGGTTGATGCGTACCGACGACTGATGCAGCAGCTGCACCACCTGTTTCATGGTGAACATGTACAGAGCCATGCATAACTCGAAGGGGAGTACCCTGAATTCAAACACTTGGCCCAAATGGGTGAATTGAAGGACTTGATGACTCGCTGAGTGCATTGGTATGTGCCGGTAAGCATCGTTTCAGTCTAGCGAGGCTAACCAATCAAAACTGTGCACGGAGAGTAAAACCATGCAGGACCAATTGAGGAGAACATACTAATTTAGCTTGCTTAGATCTAGAACTGGACGCCAGCCACCTGTAGCTTTTGGAACTACAAAGATGTGTGAGTAAAAGACATGTTGCTGGGTCTTCTACCCTGTGTATGGCGCCCTTTGTAAGCAAACTGTCTACCTCCTGTCGGATTGCTTCCGCTTTGAGGGGATCCCTTGGCATCACCCAACTTGGGGGGACATCGACAGCAGAGGTGGAGATAGCAGTGGAATTGTGTAACCATGTGTCGCCATCTGGAGCGTCCAGGGGTCACTTACCAGCTGCTTCCAAGTCGGAATACAAAGTTGCTTCACCCACGACTTCGGGGTGACCACCTGAACAAAAATTCATGGTACCCACATCGGGGGAAGGAACCAAGGGATCCGGTCAGGGGCGTGAGGTTCAGTTCAGATAATGCTTGGTTCAATGGAAAGCGTTAGTCATAAGGTTACCCCACCATTGAGACTATATTCTTCCACAGGGGACCAATGCCCGCCCATCAACACCATCTGTGCACCCTCCGCCACATTCATTAATCTACCGGACCAAGGGTGCCGTGCCGTCTGGGATCCCGGAAGCCACAACGCTACAGAGAGTGACTGCTTCAGGGTCGAGGGTGAGAGTAAGAACATCAGTCACTTAGACCAATAACTTCCTGCATCACCCCCACGGCGTGGTTCATGGAATCATTTCGGAGAACGAACTCCGAAGAGCCGCCTGAGGTTGTACACACAGAATCAGACACCGTCGAACCCCCCTTCACTTTCGAGTCTGATCAAACATCTGATAGTCAGGTTGGTCCCCTCTGGGAATGCCTGCGGGTCTTCAAAGGGGGAGTGACCTACAGAGGAGGCAGTGCTAATGGAAAGATCCCTGGATCTGACAGATGATCCCTAGCTGGCAGGAAGTAGAGAAGAGGCGAAACCAACGTCCTGCCCTGCTCGCCCCCTCCATATCATAGGCCTGGACAACCCCCACCACCACCACCACCGTCTGTGGGGTAGGCCATGCAGGAGACCAAATACCACCTGCCTGCGACCCACCTACTTCCCAATCAATGGGGAGGACGGGATCAAGGGAATTCTGTGAGGGAGTACACTTTGAATGCAAACGTCAAGATGTGCTTTTTTTCCATTCGCCAACCGAGAGGCATCTGCAGTGGAGGCAACCCGCTCAGCCTGCAGCTTGTCTACCCAACCTGAAAGGAAATGAAATTTGTCCTGACAGGCCCTTGAACATCGCCCGAATCTCTGAGGCAAACCCGGTACTCGGCGAGAAAGGATCCACAGAGGGACCTGCAACAGGCCCCATAGGAGCAATAGGCTCGAGGGCACAGCCTTGCTATTGCCGGCATGATCGAGCAGACCTTCACTTGCAATAGCGGGCTGCAAGGATGTCCTCCAGTTTTTTTGAGTGCAGTACAAAAAAGGACACTGGGCCCCTAATAAGAAATATTTTATCCTACCAGACACCACGTCTTACTGTTCGGTCACAGAAGGAGTACCTCAGAAAACCCGGTCTAAAAACTGCTGACTGAACCACACTGTTTTGCTATGATGCTGCACACTCAATGCAGAGAAAACAGAAAGTGAACATAAGGCAAGATGGTGCTGACCTCTTGACCTTGGTCCCGTGTTGGAAGAACATCTATGACCGGAGTCTATGGTGGGTAATTAAACGGGTCGGCCATTTGATAGTCAAACCAATACATCTGTATATCTATGACATTATGTATAATTAATATACAAAATTTGAACATAATATCAGAGATATGGTACTAGAGCCGCAGTTCAAAAAACAAAATGGTCACCAGTCAGCCATTTTGAATCCGATCTGAAAAACAATATAACGTTCATCGAGGTCATATGTCCAATATATATACCAAGTTTCAACAAAATCCATCTGTAAACAGCCATGATCTAACACATGCACGAATGCACGCACAGAGGTCAATCTATAAGTCATTGTTTTCAGACTGTGTCCGAACAGGGACTAATAAAGGATGTCATTGGCTTAGCAAGTCATATACGACAAAACTGCTTGACAAACAATACTATATATCCTGCAAAACTACATTTCAAGACTGTAGTGGGATACCTATTATGTAGATAAAAAATACCAAACTTTTTTCATGAAGAATCAGGGTAGTTTTTCGCTACGCGTCCAAAACTGGTGGTGGTGGTGGTAGATCCATAGGCTAGAGTCTCCCCCCAAAGGCGGCCACGCAGAGGTTATGGAGAACGCATTCAGCTGCACAGAGACACCACAGTAAAAACAGTACTTGTACATCAAAGGCAGCCCAGGCTTGGTGACAAATGGCCTGGCAAGGTTGACAAAACTGTTTTATAATGGTCATACATCTTGTAAATCTAACGAGCCTCTGCATGATCAGATGAATGAATAACGATAACATTTTAGAAACTGAGTGGATACCGAATGCCCTCAAGTTGTCTGGTCTGAAGAGGGGGTCAGGGTACCTTCACCCCCTAGTACCTTCTAAATTATATTTTATGGGGTTAAATAGAGAAATCAAATTAAATATCTAATAGTATATATTATTCATAAATAATATTCAGTAGGTAGTATTTTAGGTTATAGTTAACAAAATACTGGTACAGGTAAGTGGTAACAGAGTGGTTGGTCATTTTTCATTGGAAGAGAAATGTTATTTTAAATATGCTCAATGAAAGTTGAAACGTCACTGAGATTCCACGTTATGGTCAAAGTATGCAAAGTTTCACAGTGAAAAGATAACATCTATTGTGTGGGCAGAAACATTTTTACATTCGCAGAAAACCCTCTATAAAATTACATATTGGGAAATAATAAAACTCCAATTTTAAAGCAATTATGGATATCATCTCATGATCATCTCATGGACTATATATGAAATTCACACCATTTTAGCGACAAGAGGATTTCAAAAAGAAATCAAAAACTGTATTTTAATCCAAAACTATAACACTTAGTAGTACATCAAATTACTGTAAAACATATCTTTTTCGCGAGCATGTCTTTTTGCGAATTTAGTGAGAAAACTAAATCGCTAATTTAAGATGTCGCTAATGACATGGCGGCCAAACAATGTCTTTTTCTCCATACACACACTTTGTAAACACAGAAAACGTAATAATCTGGAACGTATTTGTTTTGGCAGGCTACAGACAAGTATTGTAAAAACAGGAAATCAACAAAGACAAGAAAGATTCGCCAAATCAACACTTCTCACAATTCTCTAAAATAGTATGTCGCTTTTTCAACATGTTTTACAGTACTTCTTTTCACATAAAACTGTTTTGATCACATGTATTATGCAAATCTTACTGCGCCTTGCATGTAAGTTAAAATTGAGTTATCAACTGGTCACCTTCCAAAATGCTGGTTGGTCACTAGACAATTCATTTTTGTGATAATTATTTGAATGTTTTTGTTTTATACAGATAGTTTCAGTCACATATGCACAGTTTTTCATTATTTATTCTCCCAATTTTGAAAAATCTAAAAACCTGTCAAAAGAAATACTAAATAATGAAATTAAATTAACCAGTGAAAATTAAGGTTTTCACAGTACCAGTACACAACACATAATGATGAAACCTAAATTTATTTTTTTTTAAAAAAGGAAAATACAGACTAGGTGTTACATGTGCAAATATATTTGCATTCACTCCTTCAGGCAGAAGGTTTTGCCAATCACCCTCTGGCAGTCCTGGATTAGTGGATTGGCAAAATACTGTATAAGATAGTCTTTGCAAAAAGCTAGTTTCTCACTACATTAACACATTTCCCCTATTCACTTTGGCAATCCCTGGAGGCTTTCAGCCGGCAATGTATTGATACCATTATTAATTGGAAGACGTATAACTTCGCTGGCCAAGGTCAATTTAATCCCCTCACCACTATAACCTTGGCAGATCCAGCGAAAAGGTGTATTTTAATACATTCTTTATCATCCTGCTATTATTCATATATGATTCAATGATGCAACTCCTTGGCTGAATCACACACAGGTTTCTTGGAGGGGGGCTTGACATCGAGCATGCATAACCGTGCAATTTAGATGTCATCAAATAATCTAATTATAAGGAAAATATACGGTAACTGTTTTAATTTTCCAAGAGACAGTGAATATGATGTCAAAAGTGTAATTGACTTTCATGAAATTTTGTTTTCACAAATGCATCAAAATCATCATATTGGGAAAATTAAGCAGTTTACAATACTAATACACCTCAGCCCTTTGTGACCATGTAAAATTCCTACTCCCAATTGAAATATTTATATATTTGTGCCGCCATAAAAAGGTTCCTTTTTGTTGAGCAAAAGGAGGAAAGAAGACAAAAATTGAAGCATTACCGGTAATTAAAAAGTGACTCTTGATGAAAATAACAACTGCTAAAAAGCTTAGTTCAAGTTTAAAATATGCTAAGTATGGTGGGAAAAATGGTTTATCGTATATTCATACATAACCAATGACAAAAATAGTCATAGTATGTGAAAGGGAAACGTTATTGGCAAAATTTTGTGACAAATATCCATTTTTGCCTTTTGAATCTCTGGAAAGGGGTTGGGCGTTGGTGGTACTGGCGTCACACATCTATCAATTTTCTAGGGGTTGAATCTTCATCTATATACTGTAAGCTGGTGCTGTCTAGTCTATATCTAGAAGTTCTGTTTCAAATATCAGTGTTGCACCTGGAAAGAAAGAATTAATTTATTAGTATTAGATGAGCATCTGCATAGGCCATCACATTGCAATGTTACATGTATTTTTGGACCCCACTATAGCATCACATTGCTAAATATCTGGGATGCATTCCCTAAAGAAAATATTTGTGAAAATTAGTTTTTAGGTGTGTCTTTCACTATAAATGTTTTCTTCTGTTTGCTCAATACTCAACATGTATAGAATAAATCAGCCAATATGAAAGCCCATTACAAGTAGAATACCAAAAACTCTGCCAATAAGAAAGTCAGTGACAAAAAAAAAAAAAGAAAAAGTGTATTACATTACATGATCAAATAACAATAACTCGACCAATAGGAAAATACATTACTTGACTCACCTCCAGGTATCTTGGGTGGAGATCCTCTGTCACCATAACCTTTATCTGACGGGATAGTTAGTGTTCTCTTTTCTCCAATGCACATGTCTTTGATTCCTATGTCCCAACCTTTTATAACCTGTCCCTCCCCAAGTGTAAATGAGAACGGCCTGAAAGAGTCAACCAATAAATAAATCAGACAGTGCTCATGTACATTTTGTATGTACCACGCAAGATAGTTATCAACTTACCCATAGTTTGCATTATTTGAAAGGTGGCAAAAAGTTTTGTCCCAAAATGAACTGGAAAACTTTAAATGTAATCACTGTGTTGATATGATGTTGAATTATAGGGGCAGATATCACTCTCTGCACCAGGGAATCAGTATATGTTATGTTAAGTTAATAAAAAAAATGACATTCAGAGCTATGAACCAGCCCCATTTAGCATAGCTGTTACATCAGACTCATGATTGGTAGACCAGAGTTAAAATCCAACCCTAGGCTGAACACCAAAAATGGTTGACCTCCACCCTGGGCGAGTGTGCCACAGATTTAATGGAAAGGCCAATTTCACTGGCTGAGATTCATTCACTAACAAATGCAACTTTGGGGGAACCTTGGTTAAGGCGCAGGTGCTTGTATTTGACTGACCTGGTTACTATTTGATAGAGAGATGGCCACATGGCCCTGTCATGAATACGGTTTTTGTGGCAAAAAGCACTATGTGTCAACACTTACACTTACAATTTGCTAAAAAAAATTAGGGAGAGACAACAGTGACATTCAATGTCACTATTCAACAATTGTCCGACACAAAAATATTACAAAATCAAAAAAAAAAGTTTGCAAATTGCTGCTGCAGCATTCATTTTAAATAAACATGAGTGGCAAAACAAGGTGGTAGAAAGAATGACTACCGGGGTATTTAAAATGAGCGTCAAAATAATTCTGTATTTTTTATGCTTTTCTAAATGCAATAATTTAGCACTAATTTTTACTGGTATACACTTCACAATTTTAATATCTTACGAAATATATATTCACCAGGTTAAAATTACTGAATTTTACAGTGAAATAATTTTATTGTAATTGTATACAATTACATGAATTCAGTGAATCTCACTAAATGCGGAAATAGCCAAATGAAACCCACTGAATAACAAATGCCAAAAGTTAAATGTCACACACGGGGGTTAGATGAATCTATTGTACATGTAACATATGGTAACGACATAAATCCTTTTTTCCAAACTATAATAATAATATTTATTAAACGCATAAAATCCTTAGGAAAAGATAAAAAGGGTCTTTGTGTACTGGTCTTTAAATTTAAGAAATTTAAAAACTATAATCTAAAAAAAAAACTATTCTAAAAAAATAAAACAAATCAAAAACAAATATGAATAAACAATAAAGACAATTTGCAACCAATGGTGAATACAGAATATAGAATGAACACAAAATGTAACCTAATAAACTGATAGTTGTTGCTGTTATGTTCCATAGCTGTTTTTAAGAAGACAGCTAAGACTGGTGCTAGAGTATGGTTTCCCATAATCAATATGAATTTATTCTGACTATTTTCTTTATCAAAATTTGGAACTTTTTTTTGTGCAGTCAGGAATAATTTGTCCCTATGGTGACTGTACAAAATGTTGCTCATCCTCAACTATATTTTGGCTGCACATATCACATGTTCTTTTATCCAGCGGCACATTATTATGTCTGCCTTTCTCATTTTTAAGGTCATGGTTGGTTGTCCTGAATTTTGCAATTAACCTTCTAAGACCATAGTTTTGCATATTGATTAAGTAATTTTCAATTTTTAAATCTTGTTTAAAAAGTCTGTTTGTTCTTAGTTTGTTTTTAGCCAATGGTATGGTATCATATTTATGGTGCATGCACACAATTAAAGTCATTTGCGTTTTACTTTGTTCACTCTCAGTAAGACTTTTGTATGTAATAGGATTATTGCCTTATGGTTTATATCAAAGACGCGAGTATGGTAAAAGTCAACCTTCATTCAAGCTATGCTTACTTCATAAAATGTTCAATAACTTCAGATATTCACTTGAGAAGCATTTTACTTTATTCTATTTTCATTTAATATTTTTATGTGACCTGGTATTCAAAATAAAGTAATAATATTATAAATACTGTGAAATACATTATTTTAGCTGGAATTAATTTTTGCTGAATAGACTTTTTGAGTGTTTTGTATGGAATTTATTTTCACTGATTTTTGATAAGTTGAATGTAAAATATAGGAAAAAAGGTATATTCGCTGGATTTTATTTTCACTGATTCATTCCTTCAGCGAAAAAAGCAAAAATTAATTCCAAGCGAAAATAAAGTATTCCACAGTAGATGATCTTGCATACATACCTATTTCTATTATAACTTGAATCAAATTCAGTTTTGTCTTCCAGTGTTCCTCTGTCTGTGAAAGGAAAAAGTGAGAATTAATTACACTACATCTTGAAATATGAAAAGTTTGACTTCACAGTTGACTGATTGACGTATTACAAAGTGTGATACAATATAAACGACTAGGCTTCAGTCTTCGTGGTTCTGTCGTATGCACGATGAGTGCATGACCATGACTAGATACAGTTTGTTGTTCGGATCACAATCGCAATCCCTCTATAGTCTATAAAGAGACTGTGTTCGGCGGATCTTGTTTTCCGTATTGGACGAGTTAGTATCGAGCTAACCTAATAAATCGGACGAAACGAATTTTGGACAAATAAACTTGTGGGACGAATAGACTTTGGGACCGAATACACTTCT